TTTGAATAAAAGCGTCTGCTAAATGAAATGTAAAAATGTGTAGGAATGTTTGGTTATCAATTTCCAACAACCTTGCAGAGTTACTGTCCTCCTTATAGCTCAATCACAAATGTTTAGGTGCTTTGACTTACATGCTTTTATAATCCCTAAAGGGGTCAACTATTTAAAGATTTTATTAGCTCCTCTACTGTGATGTTCCTGAGGCACATGCAGTCTTATTTCTATCTAAGTGACATATTTATATTTCAGGCTAAAGTTCTGTTGCTTTCGTTGCAAATTCAACCCCCATGCTGTCACATTAACGGTGTAATATTGAGGTACAGATAAATCTATAGTTTCACTGTATTGCTTTCGGGCTTAATCAGCTTGCAGTTTGAGACAGATCGAAGCGGAATTACTTTCATCCGAAACTTGGGTGAACTTTTTGAGTAAAAAACAATCGATCGGTTCCCACTCCCTGCCTATTATCTTCTGCCTGCCTCTCTGAAGGTATTAACATCCATAATGATTTTTCTTGGGAATCAGATGGTGTGAGAAATCCTGAGCGCGGCGGATCATTTGGGAATAGGATAAGAGAAGCCTCTCCGCCTCAGATTCACATCATCTGATTGTATGGTTTGCTCCCTTATTTACGCAGACTGGCTGCCATGGAAACTCGAATCGATTGGGTGATGCTCTGTGCGGGGCCAGGAGTTATTATGGTATATTGGTTTTTCTGGACCATTCTGACACCTTTTAAAATGCACATTAGCTACGGTTTCCCACATATCTCGCCTGCCATATGGACTCACCTCAGCATTAGTTCCACTCCACTTTGAAGGGCAGTGCTGCTGTAGCCTCAGCTTTTCTGCACTGAAAATGTGGAAATCGCTGGGTCTGCAATAAAAATGTCCTGTCTCTGTATTTATCTAATGTGTTTATCTAATGAATGTAATGATCTGTCATTTCAGTTAATATTAATAATCGGAGTATGAGTTAACTGTAATGACCAAAAGTATATGAAATATGGTAAGGTTTAGTATGACCTTTGCTCTGCTGTATGGAAAGATGAATTATAAAGGAAGATAACTGTAGTGCTGTCCTTCATAAAGCACAGATTATTGCAAATTTACCTGTCATTTTTTGCTATAAGAAACATTTATATGTTCCAAAGCTAATTTTAACAGACATTTTTTTTTTATCATAATGTAATGTAATGTAATACAATAAATAAAATAAAATTCAACAGCATCCAAAATAATTGGACACTGAAAAAAATATTAACAAAACACATTTGAAAGTTTTTGAAAAAGAGAATCTTACAGATTATGTGCTGAATAAGTTTCATCACTCTGGTTTGTGATTGAAGAAGTTAAGTGTATTACAAGTGCCTGCAGTCTATCCTACAGTATCCAACATTTATCATGGTAAAATTAATTTCATTATACAAGAAAGAATTTGCTAAGAGCTGTCAAAACGGTTTTCAGTTTAGCTTCCTTTCTTTCCTTTGTCGTTCAAAAACCAATGTCTGTTTTGTAGCACTTGATCAAAATGACATAGTAAAAAGTAATAACGTTGGTGAAATCTCTATAAAATGTGCATTACTTATTGAAAGCCTGCTTCGCTGGTAGGGTGATTCAGAGTAGCGTTTATTAGAGCGACTGGCATTTTACCAAGCTTATGCTGTTTTCAGAGATACTCAAAAATGTTTCAAATGTTTTATGGAGGGGGGGATGAAAAAGAAGGGCAAAAATAATTACTGCAGAATATTCCACCATTATCTATGAAGTGCACAAAACAAATCTTAACTGGTTTTGTATCAAGACCCAGATTGTACAGTGGTCTGTACAATCAATAATTTTAAAACACACAAAAATAAAAATTTAACTGTATTACCACGGACAGATGCAACAATAAAGGCTGAACAGGAGGCAACTAGGAGACATACACTGATATTTTATCAAGCCATATATATAAATATATACATACACACATCTATGCTGGCTTTAAAAATCGATCAGATGAAGGTATCCCAAGAGACAGGAAGTGAGGCTAACATATTTTTTAAAGTATATTTTTTATGAAGGTTGTGACTCCATCGACTCAATCAGGAAAATGAGTTGAAAACCATGTGTGTTTTTTTTTCATGGTTTTTGAAAATATCATTTTATACATGTTGTCATTTTTTTATGTCAAACCTTTGATATCAAACACAAACAGCCTATTATATGAAAAGTATTTTCTCCTTTTTTAATTATGTGCCATTTATTTTGTTATCCTAAGTTTCCTGTGCAGAATTATAGTTGCATTATATTATTTTCATTTTGTGTGTTTTTTTCACTGACCTTCAAACAGGCCAGCAACCCAATTTCTGCAACCTAAGAACTGCACAATCAGAGCCATCAAAAATAAAAAATGTATCAGCAATTTTGTTGCAAAATCATTGACACTCATCATAAGTGCATCCTTATAGCATCACTTCAAGACTTACTCAGAGGGAAAACAGCATATGCACAGCCCCAAGGAAATATTTGTTGCAAAGTGTGTATAATTTATATTTGATTATTTTTGCCATTCTTTTTTAACTTGTGCAACAACCAGAATAATTTCAATAGAAAATAATTTACTGTTTTTTCCCCACAAAATAGTAAGCTAGAAATGGAAAACCCACACAAATAGCCTACACTGTAAATTCATTATGAATGTATTAACATGGCACAAAGCATATGAATAAACAAATAAATACTGCATGGTGCAGTCACTGCTTTGGGCCATGGTTAGAAAGAATCCAATGACATTATGTGATCATTTCAAAACTCTAAAAATATTCTATATGCTTTATCACACAAGCTAATGTTTATTTCCAAACCAGTGAAGATTATCTAGTGTGTATTGTTTGAACCACTATATACACAAATGCAGGCCTATGAACATATAAGGCAGAGAATATTCAGGTGGATCCATGCTGGCTAATGTGTGTCCAGCCAGTGTGTGTATTTGTGTATTTAGAATAGTATTTAAAAAAGTATATAAAGATTTTTTTCCCCCACATGTGTTTTACTTTACAATCTCTGGATTTCCAATGATGAAATGGCATTCATTTTTGTCAACTCAGCACTTGAGTCAAAGTATATTTAGGTACAATATACAAGGCAAACAGTTCTAATGATAAATGTAAAAAAATATATGTCATTTTACAATATAGATACAGTACCATGTGACAAACAGTGTGGGAGAAATACAACATAACTCTACATCATAACACATTCTCTTCACCTATGCAGCACAATATGTGAGATGTACATTGTTGCAATGTAGTATTAGTACAGTTAAATTACAAATCAAGTACAGTACAATGCCAGTCAAGTTCAGAGTAGACACTTGGAAACAAGTCAAAGCCTAAAACCGACAGGCGTACTAACACGACGGCATTCTTTCTTAGCTCATGCATGAACAATTATGTATTTAATTGTTTTATTAGGAAGACAAAACCTTCCAATATTTTCGTTTGTAACATTTTATTACACACCCAGCCCTAAAATGTAGCTGGCTGTTTAAAAAAAGGACCTGTGCTTTGCTCACAAGAAAGCATTACAAAACTATTGAAAACATACTGTGACATTAAATAGCCATAGAAGTCAGAAATGCATCCAAAAGACCATTCACAAATACAATTGGGCAAGAGGTATTCACTTCCAATAAACTGAATAAAAAAACTGACAAGGAAACAATGCAGTTCTGACCTGGGATAAAAATAAATGTATACAGCAATTTAACACATTTCTAGCCTGAGAAATAGTGCTAGTAATGGCTTCTTGATAATCATGGCAAATTACATTTTTGACATAATATGTTGGTGCGAAGCACTTCTTAATATCAATTTTGTATCTTGGGTGTTGGCAAAGACGACTGCAAAAATCATGCAAAGTACAGAGTATTTTTATGATTTGAGGTTTGTATGAACTACTACACATGAACTGCATTATGATAATAACGTGAAAGAGATGGTATGTCTTAAAATAAAGAAATAAAAACAGGAGATAAACACATTCTACAACATTACAGAGTCATGTAAACAGTTGTCTTATTATTGCATTGTTTATGTGACATGTTCAGTGTAGCGGCGTAATTAGATGGTTGTGAAACGTTTCAACGTCTTTCAAAACAAAGAGTAAACAAATTCTCAAACTGATAGATATGGTCTTTAGTGCGTAGACCTACACAATGACATAAAACTTCATTTAGATGGAGCGTCTAACAATTCCAGCCAGGGGTTTGCTATGAGAACGGTCTTCACTAGGGTGGTTGTTGCTGGTGTAATTTTATGGGGGAATGAGCCAAACAAAATCCAATTTACCCTGGTAAAATTGCGCTGAGCAAAAGATAGGAGAAAAATACCGAAAAGGGGAAGGAGGTTTACCTCATTTTTCACTGTACTGTCCAATCACAACACTTCAGAAGATGGGCGAATACCCACACTGTTCCAGTTCATGCCTTTGAAGAAATGCACAAACAAACCAATACTACACCATCTTTTTGGCCCAAGGTTGATTGAATAACATTTCTGTTATCATCCAGCGGGGAGATAGTATGAAATGTTGCTGAGTAGATTCATGCCACAATACATTGTATATTCAAGGCATATTGACCCTGTGTTGGCGGAAAGGAGAGAAGGATAAGCAAATTTTTAAATGTAGGCCTATCAAAGAAAAAATATATACTGTATATTTTTTAAACTTTACCGAAATGAAATGCTTACAATTCAGCTTCAAGCAACTTTTTAAACGACTACACTAGGATAATGTGTCTGAAAAAAAATTGGGAAATAGCTATGCGGCAAAAAAAATCACTTACTTAAACTGTATTTGTCTTGATTTCCAGTTAAAATATATAAACATTCTTAAAAACATGACATATTTAGTAAAGAAACATTGACGCAAGGTACTAAGAGTTGTTTTTAAAGAACATCTCAAATAAGTTTATTTTCTTACTTCACTGGCAATATTTTTTTTCTTGTTTAAGTATAAACCCAGACCTTAATAAATTTATGATTCAAGTAAGAAAAAGTTTTAATTAAAAAATATATTCATTTTGTTTCTCAAATAAATAAATCTGATTTTAAAGATGTCTAGGAATCTTCACTGGAAAGTAAGGCAAAAACAACTGAGACAAAGCTTTTTGACGAGGAGTACACATTTCGGAGTAATAATGGTAAAAGGGAGAAGCCTACACCTCCCTTTGATGTGTGAAATCTTATACTGCCTTTAAATTTTCCTTTATGAATAAATAAAGATTTATCATGTGAGAGTAAATAAATAATTGCATAAATAAATACATAAATAGATAAATAAACAGATACTTGTGCCTTGAGCTACGGTTCAAAAAAGTTCTCATTGACTGGCACCTTGTGTAGTCCAGAGGCTTATGCTTCTAATGATAAGCCATTCTTTCTGACTTGCCGTCACCACAATGCGAACACACTCAATATCAAACGCTATCTTGTGGTCCACATCATAAACCTCAATGTTTCCATGTTTAAACTCCCCTAAAGTTATATAGGAGGAGCACTGCCTTCCTTTTTTGGTTCCTATTAATTTCTCTCCCACTTCCAGAGCTCCATGATGCAAAATGTCATTCTGGCGATCATCTGTTCCTGTGATGATCTTGATTTTGCTGATTTTTGTTGCCTTGTTGAACACTATAACATAAAAGTCCCCAGTGGACGGGGCCTTGCCCCAAAAGTACTCGTCCACGCTACTGTAAGCTTTGGCAGCATCATAGCTCTCAAACACATTTATGTTTGTGTACAAACTGGCAGGTGGATTGTCTGGGATATCAAGGGAGTCTTCCTCAAAGTCATCATCCTTAAGTTTGTTTTCTGCACCCTTATAAGAGGAATAGTAGCCCATGTGTTGGAAAAGGGATGGCTTGAAGCGAATCGCATCCTTCTGTGCCAGTAGGCCTCGGAAATGGATAAGAAGCCAATCGCAAGGCATCTCCTGATAGAACATGAGCAGGAAATGTGCAAGTCTGGGAAGGTCTCGTGAGTGGTACAGCTTCCCTATGTATCCCAGTTTGGAGAATTCCAGCATCACCCAATATGATCCCTCCCTAGATGACACTACTTTCTTCAAGGCAGTGAGGAAGTTTCGGGAGCAGCGCACATCGTCCTCCAACATCATGTAGAAGTCTGACAAGTTGGTGCAGAAGTTGAGCAGAAACGCGTAATCTACATTCTGTTTGGAGCGGAAGCGTACTCTATCCTCCGGATCATTATAATTTCTCTTCAACCCATCCAGGGACGGGTAGTACTCCTCAGGTGCATGGATAACTAGCAGCCGTCCTGCAATGATATGGTGGCCGAATTTCCTTGAGATTTCCTGAACTAGGCTCTCGCACCATGCCAGGTCGAAGTCTGCCAAGTGGACAACCACAACAATCTCCTTGAGCTCCTCGTAGCTTGATTGGTCAAAAATGGACTTGATGGTCTCCAATAGGTAGTTTCCTCGTTTTCTTTTCACAGATGACAATCCAATAGTGAGATACTCTACAAAAAAAAACATGGAAAATCATGAAGTGAATCAAAATGTCTGATTTGAACAGAACGACATTGTTTATAATGTGAATACTATCGTATAGTCTGTTAAAACATGTGAAATAATATCCATAAATCCATAAACAAGGTACATTTACTAGATAGAGTTGTGCAGTTACATTATTTATTTATTTGTTTAGAAATCTTTCACACCGGTGTATACTGCTAATACTAAGTGTACAAAGGAAAGCAGTCTTACTCTTTCGAGTTAAAGGTGTTCCAGCAAGGTACCGATAAGTCACATTGATTGTTCCAGAAAAATTTGTGATATCTTTAAAGGTATGAACATATCGCTCCGAGTTCAGCGGATGCATTGAGGTTTCTCGCAACTGACGTTTATCTTCCTCCTGAAACACACAACATCCAAGACAGACAAGTCTAAAAGTCCAAGTTTGCCACAGCATTCACTATGCGCCTTTAAGGCTAGACATTGTCAGGCTTTTTTTATTTACAACAAAATAAGCTAATTCCCTGCACAAAATATAATAGCATTGTAATACAACACTATACGATAAAGTTTACAGTGGCTTCATGAATTAATAAAAAACTTTAAAAAGCAAAACACATCTGATGCACATTCTGTGTTCTTCATTTTCTAGGAGTAGTGTTTAAAAACCGTGTGAAGTTAATTAAAAGAAGGTACACTGCCATCTTGCTCCCATGAAAGTGACTTGAACGCACCTGACGCCCTAAACACAACTTCCAAGGAGGACTTGAACGCACCATTAGATGTCTTTTGCATCTTTAAATGTTAGTGCTGCAGGTCATTATTTTTTGATTTGGTAATATGCTTGCACACTCTTGTATAATTTAATTGAATTGTAAATGAAGGCCTTTGAAAAATTAATTGCACACACAATTTTACTCGCTCAAATTTATATAATCAGGTAATAAAATGATAGCATTGTTGCTAACATGCTTCAATGTCTTTTTACCACACATGAATTGTTCACACTTTACTAAATCTTTGCTGGCCGTGATGGTGTTTGTATTTCAATTAAATGGGGGTTATTTAGAAAAGTGACTTAGTCAAAATGGGTACAACTTTTGAATAATTCAACAGACAAACACACACGACATGTTATGATCACAAAGTTTTGATCATGAAGTTGGCCTCATGAATAATAAATGTGTCTCTTGCATTTGGACTGCCTCGACATCATGAAATTTTAAATAGGCTGCATCGTGAGCTCTGATAATTATACATGCATAACACAGCACCGGCAGCCTTACACGCAACATTTGGTAATTAAAGCATATAAACAAAATAACTTTTCAGCAAGGAGATAATTAATGCTAAATCACATGCAACAACAGTAGTCAAGTTGTTGTGAAGCCCACTATTGTCTTGTTATCTGCTCCACTGATGTTGTAAATAAATTGACCTCTGTAATTTACCTGCTTGATTTCAACAGGTAAACAAACTCACCAGCACGTAGCCATCCTCCATGTAGAGGTTTATGAAGAGCAGGAAAGTAATGAGAGCCACCAGAAAAGGAATGGTGGAACGTTTGCGGAAACACCTCATCTTGTCCAGGTACTTTAACACCAGTCTCATGATGGAAATACTACTGGTGTGATCTGATAGAAAACAAAGAGAAAATACTGCATCAGGATGTATCATTGATACACTAAATTTTAAGATAAAGGACAAGAGGTGGAGCATGGAATACGTATTGTTAATTTATTGCACTTTTTGGAGCTTAATAGTCATAATCGTCTTATACAAAGCCTAATAAAACATGTACCACAAATAAAACCACTGGGTTAAAAGCAGTGAAGTCAGATTTGCACCATTCAAAACTGAATTGAAAAGTCCCCCTGTGGTGAAAATCAAGCGTTTAATGTTGTTTATATGTCTATGTGGTGTTTTTAATATGTTTTAAGACAAACCTTGTGAAAATTCATGTCAACACCATTGTTGAGTATTTTCTCTTTAAAACTGAAGTGAACCAATGACAGTCTTGAAATCGCTGGTGTTGCTGACGCCACAAACTACCTTGTAACCAATCACGTCAACGTGTGATCATCAACGAGTGGATCTCTGAGCTGGTGTGAGTGAGTGGAGGCGGGGCTAATATGCAAATTCACAGAACCGTATATACTAAATGAGGCAAGGGTGTAGAGTATAAATTGCAGGTTAAATTTTTCACAAAGATAATGCAATGTGCTTACTAAACATAAAGATAAGAACCGCCCACAATTGTTTTTTATGTTTTTTCAAAATGCTGCATATAATATGAAAAGTTGGTACGTTTTACAGTGGTTTTAAGCACGCCCCCCTCCCTTCCACTGGGGTGGGCGTGACGTCATAAAAGGGGTTACCGTTAGTCTAAACGGCAAGTAGGCTAGCAGTTATATTGGAGACCTTGCTAGCAAAAATGGTTAACTATTGTGTTTGTGCGGGATGTACGAATACATCAAAAACGGGGGAGAGGCTCCCCAAGTTCCCCAAGGACAAACGACTGATTCGTGCCTGTAAGTGTTAGCATACCCGAGGTAGATCTCGAGTATGCAAGCCCGACCCTACTCACGTTGTGTCCGAGCCCAGCCCGGCCCATTAAGAGCCCGAGCCCGATTTAAACCCGACCATTTTTTTATGGGGGGGGGGGTGTCATTATTGGGTCATTATCGTGGGTCATTATTATAACTGAAGTTCTCAACTACTTTCTATGTTACTTACTCCCGCCCGCAACATTTATGTTTTGTCCCGCTCCCGCCCGCAAAAAGACTTTTTTTCTGTACCTCCAAATACTTTCAAGTTAGCCTACGTGTCGCCACCATACACATCAGCATAAATGCTCCTGATAAATTATTTGTTATTAAAGTATTAACACACAAACCACACTGTTATAACATAAAAACAAGCAGGCTTAGGCTAACTTACAGTCATGCATGGTTTGGCATGACTTCCATAATAATTCCTAAAAAGCTGACATCAGTTCATCGCGATCTCACACATCTCTGTTATTATCAATGAATCTTTCATAATATCTACACTTTGTTTGTTATAATTCGAGGATTTGCCAGCATACAGAATTCATCACTGAACAAAAAGTCAGTTTTGAGCGGTGAGGGAAGTCTATTGTAAATGCTTCTGATTGGCCATTGCGTTCCTAGAAATCAACACATATGTCTGTGATTGGCTACATCGCTCAACGCTGCAAACATGTTATAAATAGAAACTCTGGCCTGTAAATCGTTTCTATTTTGTTTTAGTTGTTCTTGTTGCTTTTCTGCAACAGATGAATAAAAATGTATTAGGTTTTATGTTTTTTCATAGATATTTCTAGTTTGCGGGAGTACCGCAAATCGTTTTATTCTCCCTCAACCCGAACACACAGAGTGAGTGCATTACCGCCGGCGCTCCCTCTTATGACGTCATCACCCAGTTACTGTAAAAAACATGCTACCTTTGAAGAAACCCCAATAAATGTTATTTTAACACATTTTAAGACAGAAATTTTTAAATATACATATTGAGCACTTTAATTTACACATTAATTGGTTGTGGTGGTTTACCTGCAATTTACACTTTAAGGCATGAAGACATATTTTTCAAGAAAAAAAACATTTAAATATGTCATTTTGGTGATCAAAGATGAGTTTCAAAGGATCAAATTATTGACTACGGGGGACTTTAAACTCCTGAATTTGAATTGAATTTAGGATGTATACAGCCTAATTGCAATGTAAGGAGGATTTTGTAGATTTAAAATGAACTGAAATTCACATAACTAATCAGTTATGTGATTATCACTAATCGGCACCAAAGTCCAAGTGTTGGGTTGATAAATTGTGTAAGTTTTGAAAAGCCTTGAAGTTTAGATAGATGGACCCCTAGAAGCTTTAAGAGTGCACAACAACTCACAGAAATTACACAGAAAGAGCTCCCTAAAATTATGATGTCTTTATTATTCAGGAGAAACTGCCACCAATTTCTTGCTGTGCAGCCATCAGAGAAGCACTTCTTTTTGTATAAAAGACATGCAGGACATTCACTGGTCAGACTTAAAAGAAGTGGAAGCTTTGTGTGCTTCCAAGCCCAGTAATTAACTCGACAACAATGTAGGTATAATGCAGACTTCAGCTGCTTTGAGGTTAATATCCTGACCCTACTCACCAGGCATTAGCAAAGTAAGTACAGAACGCCTTTAAGTCCTTTTGTTTTGCCCATTTTGAGGTCTGTGCGTCAAGTACAAAGTATGGTTCTTAAAAGCTATAATGCGAAAGGGCATTTCAATTTCAGCTATCTTCATCTGATGATGCATAGCTGAGTGACTGTCTTTGAAATAGGAAGAAAAAAAAAAGAGTTCAGCTATGTGCATGAAATAGGCCCCAGGCGTTCTTTTATTTTTGACCTCAAATTACACAGTTATCTAAGAATAGAACGAAGGACGCAAGTGTTTTGGAAAGCTTACGTGTAACAGCCTTTTTGATGGCTCCTGTTAAGCACCTTAGACCACTAATGGAATACAAAATACCTTTACAGCGGATCCCTTGACCAGATGTGTATCGATTCTGCCCACTGCCAACCTGTTTCAAATGGGGATTGTCAGGTCGATATTCTATGAGCTCTTACTTGTACTTAAAAAGTAGTGAAAACAGTGAGACCACGCATATAGGGTTTTACACTACCGCTTAAAAGAAATTAATACTTTAATTCAGCAAGGTTGGTGACAGTAAAAACTTTTGCATTGTTCTATCTATTTGAAATAAATGCTGTTCTTTTGGAATTTCTATTCATTAAAGAATGCTGAAATATTAGGAAACAGCACACCTGTTTTCATAATAATAAATGATTCTTGAGCACCAAATAAATCATTAGAATGATTTCTGAAGGATCATGTGACACTGAAGACTGGAGTATGATGCTGAAAATGAATCTTTACAGGAAGAAATTATATTAAATAAATATAGAAAAAATATTTTAGATTGTAATAAAATTTCAAAATATGACTCTTTTTACAGCATTTTTGATCAAATAAATGCAGCCTTGGTGAGCATAAGAGACTTCTTTCAAAAACATGAATCCGTTTTTTTACAGACCCCAACGTTTTTAATGGCATTGTACATCAGAGGTACTTTTTTAATACACACTTTAATATATTTCATTGGATAGTGTCTTGCATTCACAATGACACATTGCATTCTTGGTGCTTGTACAAATACCGCAACTACAGTACCATCCATTGCAGAAAATGTCAGTTCCTACATATATAATATGTACTTATCATTCAGAGAAAACTGTAACCTTTTTTAAACCAATTAATTATCATAAGACAACAGAATGTAGACAGCAGAAAAATCATATTGCCAAACCGATATCCACACTACACATTCAATTTTCTTTTGCATTTAATTACACAAGTGGCTGGCTTTTACATTTTCCAGTTCAAACCATTTTGCATTTTGATACATGCAGGTGGACTCATGTAATGTTAATGCAGGATAATACCAATGCTGGATTGATTCAGCCTACAAAACCTGCTTCATCCGTCACTGGCGGTGAAGTGAGGAGACCACTGATGGTTTTGCATTACATCACACGGTACCTCATTTTAAAACTTGGTAAAACCTGGATATGATCCAGCCCGTTCTCATCCCAAGGCGTCATACACGTGCCGCTTTTGACATTTCGTTGAAATCTTACGCACATGGCATCCTTTAGCGTGAATATGAGACGCAGATCCCAAGGCGTCATAACCGTACCCTACCCCAGACCTAAACCTACCCATAACAGTGTGTGTTATATTGACGCTAAAGGATGCCATGTGCGTAAGATTTCGACGAAATGTCATATGGCGTCACCTATATGACGCCAAAGGATGAGAATGTGTTGCATAATCACATAAGACATTTCTGAATTTAGCTACAAAAAGGCTTTTTAATAAAAATGTAATTAACGACAATGCTGAAACACAGTGAGGCTGAGTCAGAACCTGTAATGCCCTCTTAAAGATGAATTAAAAGGATTGTTGACCCCAAAATGAAAACGGTCATCATTTACTTACCCTTAAGGCTTTCTTTCTTCTGCAGAACACAAAAGAAGATATTTTGAAGAACGTTGGGGACTAAACAACTGTAGATCCCATTGACTTTCATTGTACTGACAAAAAACAGAGACGCTTTTTAAAAAACATGTTCTTTAGTGTTCCACATAACAAAGAAAGTCATGCAGATTTTCTAATGAAGAGAGTGAATGATAACAGAATCGTTTCATTTTTAGGTGAATTTTTTCCTTTGATTTTCAGTAGCATACCTTGCAAGTACCATTTATGAGCTCATATAAAAAGAAAGAATGAAGCAGAGAGAAAGTTAAAATGGCATTATAAATGTTTCAAATATCTTGCTGCAAACTGCCTGCATTTGCCAGGTATTCTTCCACCCCCTTAAATCTCCAAGTGTCCAAACACTTCAGACGCACCCTCAGGCTGAAAATAAAACATCCATTAGAAATGTATTAAGCTGAGCTGACATTATCCCTCCCTCCTTTCGTGAATTCAGAGAGTGCCGCTTGTTGACATACACACAAAATCAATTCTGAGCTTTGAAACCCCAAACTCCTCAAAAATGGTTGA